AGGGCCATGAGGCCATCTGCTGTGCGGCCCACAAAACTGTGCAATTCTCTTCTGCCAGGGCACGAAGGGGATGGACAGGGAGGGCTCATCAAACTGACAGATCTGCTTTGGGTACGAGTGATCCTTGAGGCGGCCAGGACCTGTGGAGGGCAGAAGAGAGAGAAAGGGGCATGAGTAAGATGTCATAAAACTGGTGGGACAGATACAATCATCAAGATGATTCTACACATGATGATATATATAAGTTAATATACATAAATCATAATATAATAAGTAATACATAATCATGATATATGATAATAATGATGATATACAATGATATATAATGCCAATGACAATCATACATGATGATGATAAATAATGATGACAATCATATATGATGATACAATGGTAATGATATATGATGATAATGATGATAAATGAAGATAATGATAATACAAGATGATATATGATGATAGATAATAACTACAGTGGAAGACAATAATGATGACTCTTCATAACGATGCTAGTGACACTGGAGCCAATGATGACGGATGATGGATATTGGAAGCTGGATGATGATGACAATGACAATGACGTGATATATGCTGATGATGCGGCATATAATGTCAGATGACTGAACAACTACATTTAAACACCACGTCTATATGACAATGTTGTCTGCAACAGCACATTATGCCAAGAATACTATACCATACTTAACCATAAAGAATGTAATATTCACTCATTCTTTCTACCTCTTCTTATAATAAAACCAACAAGCTACTACTTCTCTCACCTCTATCTCATCTTTCCATTTTTCCTTACATTTCACCTAATCTGGCATGCTAAATTTACCCAAAGTTTGAAAAAGGAGGGGAGGATGAGCGGGACATGGAGGAGAAGGAGAGAGGAGGAGGAGGAGGAGGAGGGAGGAGGAGGAGGAGAGGAGGAGGAGGAGAAGGAAGGGGAGAGGGAAAAGTTGAGGAAGAGGAGGAGAGCAGGAAGAGAGAGGAGGAGGAGGAGGAGGAGGAGGAGGAGGAGGAGGAGGAGGAGAGGAGGAGGAGGAGGAGAGGAGGAGGAGGAGGAGGAGGAGGAGAGAGGAGGAGAGGAGGAGGAGGAGGAGGAGGCAGGAGGAGAGCGGAGGGGGAGGGGGAGGAGGAGGAGGAGGGGGGAGGAATGACGAGGAGGAGGAGCAGGAGGGAGGAGGAGGGGGTAGGGAGGGGAGGAACGAGGAGGAGGAGGCGAGGGAGGAGGAGGAGGAGGGAGGAGAGGAGGGGGAGAAGAGAGGGTAGAGGCAGGAGGAGGCAGGGGGAGGAGGAGGAGGAGGAGGAGAGGAGTAGTGAGGAGGAGGAGAGGAGAGGAGAGGAGGAGGAGGAGAGTAGGAGGAGGAAGAGGAGAGAAAAGAGGAAGCAGGAAGAGGAAGAGGAGGAGAAGAGGGAAGAAGAAGAGACTTAGAGGATGAAAAACGTAGAGGATGAAGAGGATGAAAAAGAAGAAAAAAGGGGAGAGGAAGAGAGAGGAAAGAGGGAAGAAGAAGAGAAGAGAGAAAGAAGAAAAAAGAGAGAAGAGGATGAGAAGAAAAGGACGAAAAGAGGAAGAGGGTTGAGAGGAGGGAGGGAGGAGGAGAGGGAGGAGGAGGAGGAGAGGAGGAGGAGGAGGGAGGAGGAGGAGGAGGAGAAGGAAAGGAGAAGGAGAAGGAAGAAGGAGAGGAGAAGGAGAAGAAGGAGAAGGAGAAGGAGAAGGAGAAGAGAGAGAGAAGGAGAAGGAAAGGAAGGAGAAGGATAAGGAGAAGGAGAAGAGAAGAGAGAGGAGAAGGAGAAGGAAGAAGGAGGAGAAGGAGAAGTAGAGAGAAAGGAGAAGGAGAAGGAGAAGCGAGAAGGACGAAGAAGGAGAGGAGAAGGAGAAGAAGGAGAAGAAGCGAGAAGAAGGAGAAAGGAGAAAGAAGAGAAGAAGGAGAAGAAGGAGAAAGAAGGAGAAGAAGGAGAAGAAGGAGAGAAGAGAAGAAGAAGGAGAAGAAGGAGAAGAAGGAGAAGAAGGAGAAGAAGGAGAAGAAGGAGAAGAAGGAGAAGAAGGAGAAGAAGGAGAGAAGAAAGGAGAAGAAGAGAAGAAGGAGAAGGAGAAGGAGAAGGAGAAGGAAGGAGAAGGAGAAGGAGAAGAAGGAGAAGGAGAAGGAGAAGGAGAAAGGGAGAAAGAGAAGGAGAAGGAGAAGGAGAAGGAGAAGGAGAAGGAGAAGAGAGAAGGAGAAGGAGAAGGAGAAGAGAAGGAGAAGGAAGAGAAGGAGAAGAGAAGAAGGAGAAGAAGGAGAAGAGAAGGAGAAGGAGAAGAAGGAGAAGGAGAAGGAGAAGGAGAAGGAGAAGGAGAAGGAGAAGGAGAAGGAGAAGGAGAAGGAGAAGGAGAAGGAGAAGGAGAAAGGAGAAGGAGAAGAGAGAAGGAGAAGAGAAGGAGAAGGAGAAGGAGAAGAGAGAAGGAGAAAGGAGAAGGAGAAGAGAGGAGAAGGAGAAGGAAGAAGAAGAAGAAGAGAAGAGAAGAAGAAGGAGAAGGAGAAGGAGAAGAGAGAAGAAGAGAAGAAGGAGAAGGAGAAAGAGGAGAAGGAGAAAGAGGAGAAGGAGAAAGAGGAGAAGGAGAAAGAGGAGGAGGAGGAGAGGAGGAGAGGAGGGAAGAGAAGAATGGGGAAGGGAAGGGGGAAGGGGAAGGGGAAGGGCCAAGGGGAAGGGGAAGGGGTAAGGATGAGGGAAGGGTAGGGAGAGAGAAGGGGGAGAGGAGGAGAGAGAGGAGAAAGAGGAGGAGAGGAGGAGAGGAAGAGGAGAAGGAGAAGAGGAGAAGAGGAGGAAGAGGAGAGGGAGGGAAGAGAGAGGAATGAGGGAATAGGGATGAGGAAGGGAAGGGCCAAGGGGAAGGGCCAAGGGGGGAAGGGGAAGGCCAAGGGGAAGGGGGAAGGGCCAAGGGGGAAAGGGGAAGGGCCAAGGGGAAGGGGGAAGGGCCAAGGGGGGGGGGGAAGGGCCAAGGGGGAAGGGAAGGGGGAAGGGCCAAGGGGAAGGGGGAAGGGCCAAGGGGGAAGGGGGATGAGGAAGGGGATAGGGGATGAGAGAAGGGGAGAGGGAGGAGAGAGGAGAGGGAGGAGGAGGAGGAGAAGAGGAGGAGAGAGGAGGAGGAGGAGGAGGAGGAGAAAGAGGGAGGAGGAGAGGAGGAGGAGGAGAGGAGGAGGAGAGAAGAGGAGGAGAGAGGAGGAGGAGAGGAGGAGAGGAGGAAGGGAGGAGGAGAGGAAGGAGGAGAGAAAGAGAGGAGGGAGAAAGAGGATGAAGAGAGAGGAGGAGGAGGAGGAGGAGAGGAGGAGGAGGAGGAGGAGGAGGAGGAGGAGGAGAGGAGGAGAGGAGAAAAGGGAGGAGAAGGAGGAAAAGAGGAGGAAAAAGAGGAGAAAGAAGAGAAGGAGAAAGGAGGAGAGAGAGAGAGAGAAAAGAAGAGGAGGGAGAAGAGAGGAGGAGGAAGAAAGAGGAGAGGAAAAGAGGAGGAGGAAAGAGAGGAGAAGAAAGAGGAGAGGAGAGAAGAGGAGGAGAAAGTGGAGGGGGGGAGGAGGGAGAGGAGGAGGGAGGAGGAGGAGGAGGAGGAGGAGGAGAGGAGAGGAGGAGGGGAGAGGAAGAGAGGAAGAGGAAGAGGAAGAGAAAGAGAGGAGGAGGAGGGAAGAGAAAAAGAGGAGGAGGAGAAGAGACTTAGAGGACAAAGAGGATGAAAAGGAAGAAGATGAAGAAGAGGAAGAATAGAATGAAGAGAAAGACAAGGAGGAAGAGGAGGAAGAGGAGGAAGACAAGGTGGAGGAAGAGAAATAAAAAGGAAGGGAGAGAAGAGAGAAAGAGAAGGAGGGAGGGAGGAGAAAATGTAGGGGAAGGGCATGAGGGAGGGATGGAATGAGGAAAAAATCAATATCAATCAACAGAATAAAGCCTACACCCAACTAGGCGTCCCCCAGCAAACAATTAAAAAGCACAAACATCACCTCGGACGCATGAGGGGGAGAGCGGTTGCGAGGGACCATCTAGACGCCACTAGACACATGCTCACACTGAAAACAGGTGCACAAAACATCTGTGCTGACGAGCTCCACCCTCCCCACCACTACAGTTCGAGTTAGTCATCCTACAAGGTTCAGGATGGGGGGGGGGGGTCTAACATCATGCATCAACTTTGAACAAGGAAACTGAAAAAGAGCTATGTTTAACTATCTTCAACAGAATCATTAGAAATATTCAGTCCTATGTGGAGCTAGATGATAACCTTTTCAGGCACTAAGAAAGGCTGTAATGGTATAACCATACAGGACAACTTCCCCTGGCAATAATACAAATGTGCTAGTATTTTACGAGACAACTGCGCTAACAATGGTAAAAATGGTTGATAGTATCTCTATTAATCCAATCTCTTTATATCATGATCTCACTGTTCTTTACCTTGAAAAGCTTACAAAATAAAAAGTGATAATATTATAACAAATAAAATCTGCATTATATCAAACAAAATAAAATATTAATAAAGAAAGAAAAGAACAATTACAACAAAAAACAACATTCCTTCCTTACTAAGCACTAAATTGCACCTTGACAGAAAGATACTCGAACTAAATCTCATCTGGCACAAATCAAAAATGACAAAAATGCATGTGCTAGTGAAACAGCTTTGAAGGTAATTTCCATATGTAACAACAATGTAATCCATGTTTATTTTACTTTTCTTTCATAATATACAACTGCCTTTCTTTTCATGTCTAATTTATGGAATGTTGCAGTCTCTTCTCTGATAAACTGATGTCATTCTAATGAAGCCTACACAATTGCTTTTTATATCATATAACATTAACAAAAACTCTAACACAGTTTATGTTTGCACATAAATGAGCTCTATAGCATTGCACCATCTGTACCAATAATTTGAATAATCTGCCAACACTGCAGGAGACCAGTTCCTTGCAAAACATTCCTCAATCAACTTGCAACAATCACACCGGCATTCAGGCCAACTATAACAAA